CGCCCATTCGTGCGTGCCCGTTCACATGACCATGTTGGGGTACTCAATGTCAGTCACTAGTATTGTACTGCGGTACAACAGAACGGATGTATTCACACAAGTAGTATTTCCGGAATAGCATTCGGTATGTTGATCAAGTAATCGGATCATTGAACACACCTACCTACGGGTTATACATTGGACCATACATACATGTTAAAAGTATGGTACATTGGACAATTTTCCGATAGGATGTTCTTGTAACGTTGCCATTGGTCGGATTAACCGTCTAGTACCGTGATCGGCACGTTGCAATAGCCCGTGTGTTTCCTTTCCGTGGTGACGATGGATGGCTTGCTCCCGTGGTGCTCGCACCCACTGGCTCCCTATCTCTTTCCTTTCTTCCTACATCTGCCAAGGACCTTGGCCTCTTCAATGTCCTTCGGGACTCTTGCGAGTCTCGGGACATTCTTTTCTCCTTCTCCACTTTCGATCACCTAAGCGCCAACATTACCATATCATCTGGTCTACAACACAAGTGTGCTCTACAGTCACTCTGTGAGGCTCTGCACACTGTTACTACATAGTGGCCATTGCCAGGAATAAACCTATCACAAAGGTTACATCGCAACAGATTAGAGCCACGACCAACAGGTTATGGGCCATCCCAGCATACAAAGGGTTCCAATCCATGGCCGAAGCTTTCCCGCCACGTAGTCCTCTTCATGGCGACGTGATTTCCCGTTCTTTTCTCTGTCTGGGTGCAAGAAAGTTGGATACATACGCTTACAAGCAAGTGCAAAAACCACGATGACCATGGCTGACCATGGGTACCCATGGGCACCCGTGGCAATAACCGTGGGTAGCCATGGGGCATTAGTGGTGTGGCACCCTCCGGGTGCCCATGGGTAGACAGGGTGATCAGCACGGTCCTCTTCGTTATACCCCAGACTAAGAGGAGAGGCAACGTCTTGAAGCCTTGCAACCAACACAACCCACCTGCAGCGTTGAAATCGCAAGCAAGGCCAAGTAAGTATGACGGAAGAGACCTGCGCGAGGCCTCGGCATGCGAGTGGGTAGTACGAAACACGGGAGATATAACAACGCGTTCAGCGTCTAGCCTAGCGCCGTGGATGGGTCAGGACACACTGACGCGCTGTCCTCCACACCCACACCAAGCCAGTTCGTTTTTATTCAGGCTCACTCAAGAGTGGTCCTCTCGCTTCTTCATACCGCATGCCATTCGATACCTTTCTTTACAATCTTGCAAGATGGCATGTTGGACTCACTATCGGTGGTGTGAACCCACGGAACATTGGGTGTACCGGCTTGCTACGGCCGCGCCTTCGTCGACCCCGCTTATTCAAAGTTAGAGTAAGGTACGCCAAATCTTGGTACCCGTTGTGATCCCCATGTTGGTGATCGCCAATACGGTCCCCCGCGTGTACCCATGGGCACCCATGGGCTACATGACCCGTGGGCACCCATGGGTAACGCATATGAGAAGAGAGGGGGATGAGTCTGGATACACGTACAGCGGCACTTTTTACCCTAGACAACACTACCTCGGAACGATGTCCAGAACATGTAGGTGGGGATGCTCCCGTGTTCCAACTCTCTTCCTGGGTACGATCAACATGGAGGTGCGGATGTTTTGTCCAACTAATCGGACTACACTACCATGAGGATTCCACCATGTTTGGAGGAAATCGGGTTGGACGTTTTGGCCAGGGATACCGCGAGCAAAGTTTCCGCCAAGTGCCCCTGCAGAGTTTCGCACCCATAAAACCAGTTAGAAACCGAAGGGATTTGACAGGTCGTTGTTGGGAAACATAAGTTGTGCG